GTCTAGCCGATGAGGTAAATATATTGTTGACAAGCCTTTGATAGGTGGCCCCGGCATTTTTCAACTCAAAGGGCATCATCTTGTAGCGGTAAAGGCCTCTGTCAGTGAAAAAGGAGGTGTTCTCCTCATTGGTCGGGTACATAGGTATTTGGTTATAGCCAGAGTAGGCGTCCATGAAACTCAGGAGCTCATGCTCGGCAGTGGAGTCTACCAATTGATCAATTCTTGAAGTGGGAAGCTATCTTGGGGCATGCCTTGTTGAGATTCGTAAAGTCGATTCATACCCTCCACTTACCGTTGTGCTTCTTGACTAGCACCGGGTTGGAGACCCACTTCAGGTAGATGGCTTCTCTGATGAAGTCATTCTTGATTAGCTTCTGCACTTCTTCCTTCAAAGCCTTATATCTTTTTGGGTTGAGGGCTCTTCCTTCTATCGGTACGAGACAGCCTTAGGATCTATCTTTAGGTGGTGACAGCTGACCTTAGGGTCTATGCCCACTATGTTCTCATGCCTCCAAGCAAAGATGTCAAGATTCTTGCAGAGAAAGTTTTTTAATTTTTCTTTCATATCGTTGCCCAAGCCTATGCCTACTTTTAACACTTTCGCGGGGTCACGGGGTCGACCGAAAAGCTTTCTAATTTCTTAATCGGAGTTGTTTGAGGTTCGTGTTCAATCACACGGGGATCGATCTCATCGATCAGGGAGAGTTCTTCTTGCTTGGGAGGTGCGTCGATCATGTCAACATCTTCTCGTTTGGGAGGGGCCTCGCTTGGGACGTCTGTCATATCCACATCAGTCAGGATGACATGTATGTCTCGGGGCTCAACCTTTCTGATGGAGCTCAGGTAACATTCTCTGGACCCTTTTTGGTCACCTCTCACTGTTATCACCCCGTTCTCAGTCGAGAGTTTCATGCGTAAGTGGTGGATGGAGGTGACGGCTCCTAACTCCTTCAGGACTGGTCTACCCAAGATTCCGTAGTAAGCTGATCGACTGTCTACAATAAGGAATTCCATGAAGTTCATGGTGATTTGGGGGGGACTCTCCCATCTCTATCGCTAATGTTATTTTTCCTCTCGGAGTGATACCATCTTCGGTAAATTTGTACAGAGGAGTGGTGGTGGGCATCAGCTTGTAGTCCATGATCATCTTGTCAAAGGTGGATCCGAACAAGATGTTAACGGAGCTACCATTGTCTACTAGCATTCTCTTGAGCCCATTTCGGGCTACAACGGCCCTTACCACAAATGCATCACAATGGGGATAGTGAACCCCTTCAAAGTCCTTTTGGGTGAAGACGATAGGTGGTATTTAGTTTTTTCGGGAGCTACTGTCCACGATATAATTGGTTAGTGGGAGGCTTTGGCCTATCGGGTGTAGTTTCATTTTGCGTTCCAAGTCTCATCTCCCACGTAGGGGCCCAAATATGGTATCTATCTCGTGAATAGAGGCATCTTCTTATGCATGGCAGTTTCCATGATGCCTGTGTCCTTTTCTAGGTCTCCTCGAGTCATGTTCCCTTCGATGGGGGATACATCTCGCTGGCGGGACGCGGCCTCCTCACGGCTTGGTCGTCGATCGTTCTTAGGCGGGGACCTGTTTGCCTGTGGCAACTCATTCCTCCTGTCCTAAGGGTGTTCTCTCCGATTGCGGTATGCATACTCCAGACACTCGAATGTGTCATGACTGTCTGAGCGGTGGTACGTACAATAATCGGGGGGTTCTGATTAGGCCTATTCCTAGGCCTTGAACCACGTCCCCAGCCTCTTCCTCTACCGGGGGCCTGTTGTGAAGTTCTTACTTGCGAGTCGATGGTAGTTGGGTTGACATCTTCATATACCAAAGTTAAGACCACATTCAAAGTGGTTGTGGAAGTGCTTGCCTTGAATTTCCATTACCAGGCGGGTTCATCTGGTAGTCCATCAAGTGGGAGGTCAGTCCCCTAGCGCGCTGTCTCTGTTGAGGTGGGAGGCCTCGCTAGCCCGATTCCTGTGTTCAATTAGCTCCTCATTGATGATCTCCTACCTCATCATTTTCAACATGGCGTCATAAGTGGTGGGATCTTAGTTTTGCACATCCCTCCAAAACAGGGTGTTCATATTCAGACCTCCTCTTAGGGCTGATAAAGCCTCACGATTTCGTCAGTAAAGTTTGATAAAAAGCTTTACTGCAAACCTTTATAGGAAAGTGTTCTTGAATTCTGGCCAACTCCTTATACTTCCAGGTGGCAGTCGACTATACCATATTTCTGTCGCTCCACTAAGTGTCAAATAAAAAGCTCTACATTTCATAACTAGGGTGGCATAACAAAGGCTCATATGAGTTTTACAAGCGCTTAGGACTTCTCCGGGTTGCCTCTCCCATCATACTTTGGTATTTTGGGCATCCCATAGTGGCTCGGACCTGGGCATTTCTCAGTTTCCTTGAAAATGGGAGATTCTCATCGTTGTCGTCCAAGTCACAGGACCTCTGCTGCTCATCTGAGTCATTGTTCTCTTCAGCCTCATACCTGGGTGGTTGATGAGAGGGTCCAGCTTGAGTCATTGCCTCATCTTCCCTCCTTTGGCACCTATTTCTAAGCGGAGTAGCACGGGGGGCATTTTTATGCATTTCCTCCGGCTGATGAGTCATTGGAGGTGGGGGCTGTGGTCTATTTCGAAGTTCTTATTGTTGTTGCTGCTGCTGCCTGTGCCTCAGTTCCGCAAGGCTAATTCTGTCAAAGACGCTGTTAGACCTCCTAGGTCTCTGCTCTGGCTCATTTGCTGGTAGAAAGTTATCCTGGTAATATCGGGCCTCGGTGGGTTGCCCTGCAGCATAATTGGAGGAAATGTCAACTTCTACTTCCCTCTCCATGGAGCTTATGCCTTAGCTGTATTCTGGTGATACAATCCTTTGATTTTGCCTCAGCTGTATTGTGGCCATCTCTCTCGACAACTGAGCGGCCATCCGCATGCCACCTCTTCTGTGGTGGTGGTGAGGTCGATGCCGAGCTGCCGGTGGGGGTATTCCCACATTTTCTCTTATCCTCCTAAGGTGCACATCCTTGTCTGAACTCATTCACTTCTATTCCAACTTTAAATTGTTGCTAAGTTATGGGGCTTCCACTTATTCTTTTCCAAGAACAAAACATTTCTTAAGGGGGATACCCAAATATCCTTTTAGATAAGCTTTCTCCACACGGTTAATCGTGGTTATAGTATGGTTTTTCACATACAGCGCCAATCTGTTGACCCCAGAATATGTTGCCAACAGATACCGTACCCACCCACGCACACATAAGCCTGGTCTAACATGCTAAGACACTTGGATGGTCTAGAAATAATAGCAAAAGGGGGCGTGGGAGCGACTCAAAACGAGATGTTTGCATAACGATTGTACAATAATTACCAATCGATCTTTGTAGAATGTGATATTGAATTTATGTATGTTGCAAGACAGTAAAGTGTAAAAAATGTTGTATTTGTTCTTGTGTTAAATCTTGCATTACCCTTGTGAGAGATGTATGAGAGAGTATTTATAGTATTACAACTTAGATCGTGGCCCTTTGTTGGAAGTACGTGTGGCCTCACCTCGAAAGTCTACATGTCAAATTATAGATATCACATTTGAGCTCCTAGCATGCTGCACATTTATTATTTGGCGGCTCCGGCACTACATTGACAAGACAAGAATTTGTACTCTGTGATGGGTGTCCTATCAATCAATCAGGAAGGATTCTTGCGTAAGACCGGATCTCTGAGGAAGAGTGCTGCTTAGAGCCTCAGGACTTTGGAGTGAAGGGCCTTGGCTAGAACACTACTTCGGCATATTCACTTGGACCACGTCATGGGCATTGTAATAGTATGCTGGTCTACACTCGTTGGCCTGGGGCCTCGAATAAGATGTCACGTGGTTCAGCAGAAGTGGGCCATGGGCTACAATGGATCGATCAAGTACAAATGTGTCAATACGTAACATGGCTCATTCATGACCAGTTGTCTTTAATTTCATCCCTAATTCGCGGGCTAAAATCAAAGGTTGTCTCGTCAAGTTGATTCTTGTTTTAGTATATCGCTCAAACCAAATGCTCTGAGACGTGTTCACGACTTGTCTTTATTTTGTCTCACCCATAATTCGGGTCTGGGGGCCAAAGAAGGTAGGTGGTAGGGTCCGTGGGTCCCTGATATCTAGGGCCCAAATTGGTTCTCTGGTGACAAAAAGCTATTCTAACTCGCTTCAAAAGTCTATTAATTTCAAGAACTCTGGCTCATGAATAACCCTACTACTTAATCATAGACCTTTCTGGGTTGATTCAAAAAGTGCATGGAGTATTTCTTCTGCAATAATTTAACCTCGTAAATGAAGAGAACGGATAAATTAAAGTAGAAGAAAATTCACTTATATATTGAAATGTCCAGAAACTAGAATTGGTTTGTAGTATGATTTATCAATTTTAGGGTGTGTTTGTGCCCCTTTAATTTAGAAAAATGTATTATGAAATAGTAAATTGATTGAGAATGTGTGGTTAAAGAAGAATGAAAAGTTTTTTTATTTACGTATAATATTATTTTAATGAAAAATATGTGATTAAAAAAGAGTACCGTAGAAAAAATAATTTGGTAGAATGTAAAATAATGGGTGACGAGAGGCTTAACCATGTTAACTAGTTAATTTTCTTCTGAAACTGGAATTATTGATAATGACAATAATTATCAAGAGATGAAGATTAATTTAAGAAGAGTAAATGATGAAAATATTGCTATGGATCTAGTTAGAAATGGAACAATATCATCGGATTAATTGTAAATCAATTACTATGCATAGAAAACCACATAATATGATATCAAATGAATGTGAATGTAACTTTACTAACACGAACATATGCTAAGAATATTGAAGAAATGGATAATTCATACAAAAACAAGCTGAAGAAAGAAATTTGATTTTGGAAATACACCGAACTTAGTGACAACTAAATGTACACAACAAAACATAATCAACATTCACACAAACCTTAACCTTAATATCCCCCAAAATCATCATTAACCATGGTTCCGGCTGAGGAATAATCTCCAGGAAGTTCTCGAAAAAGAATGTTGTCAAAATCAAAATCGTCTAAAGTCAACTCCTTCGAAGTAGGGTTGCTGAAAGTTGACACAAATGCATCTTCACTAACAACGTCGGTGTCGTATGAAGAGAAACCTCCTTGATCTTCATGAAATTTCTCGTCCTCTTGTTGATGCTGGTAGCTCTGGCGTTGCTCATGAGTTTTCTGGGTATAGTAATTGCAGCCAAGAAGGGAAGTAGTTGAAGTTACATTAAAATCATTGTGTGGGACTGCAAAATTCAAGGTGATGGGTCCTTTGTAAGCTCCCGCACTTCGACAGCCAGTGAATTTTTGCACCAGGGCACGAAAATTGGTTGTGTTGGCATTGAGGAGTGTTGTGGGTGCATTCTTAGATGCTTTGGACCGTTTTCGAATTGGTTTATCGACGCTTCCTTCTTTAGGGATTATATCAGTATCAGGGACCGAACATGAATATTTTGTGCTCATGATGCCATCGGATCGTCGCATTGTGACACTTATAATGGGAGGAATTTTCGTTGAAGATCGGTCACTCTTCCCCGTTTTCTCTCTGCGTATCCCTTCTCGACGAGTTAAGGGAAGATTGCAACATCAACATTTGCTCGAGCGTAATATATAGTGTCTCAAATAACATTGAGGTTTGAGACTTGAGAGAGAGCTAAACACCAAGAATTAAGCAACTTCGAGGAACTTCAATTCTTCTCAAGATGACATAATTCTAAATATTTAATTAAATCGTCCTTTGACTTGTCTTCTTTTATGGGGTTCCTTTCAAGGTGGTTTGGGCCTCTTCTATCAGAGACTTTTGACCGTGGAAGAGAATGAATTTGTCTTGGTGTACAAGGTAGGGGAAGTGGGGAACCCCTACCAATTACTCACAACATGGGGTGGAGTGAATATTTTTGGGGTAATTTTTTATACCCGTGGGTAGTCAGTACACCAAGAATTATTGGAAAGAGAATAGTGTTAAATTACAAATGTGCGTTAAGATAATGATAATGACGAAAAAAATATTAACGAAAATTAAAAACCCTAATCTTCAGCATCAATTCGAAACAAACGGAGTTGATTCCTGAATTTATTCACTAAAATAAAATTATGAAAAAAAAGGAGGAAAAAACGTGTTTCTAGAGACCTGAACCGGTAGAAATTGGCCGAAAAAAGCTTTTTTACCAGGAATAATTGACGAAGCCAGTTAATTATTTTCCCAACTCTAATCCCAATGTTTTGTAACATGTTATAGACTGGTCTAGAATTACTTAAATTATTATGGTTTTTTTTTTTTGGTTGACAAAGGAACCCGCAGTCGCCACTCGAAGGTACGCACTAGGTAAACCCAACCTTGTGATCTTAGCCGGCAAAGGACCACAAGAAGGTAAACCAGCCTAAATTACCCATAATTACTTAAATTATTATGGTTTTGATTGACAGTGAAATCCAAATTTAAAATTGTGAAACATTGACCGTTGAATATTTGACCAAGTAATTCAATCAAGTATGCAAAAATAGGTGAAGTACAAGGCAGATTGTACGTTAAATTCAACAAAAAAGAGTGTACTTTTCGAAAAAGGTCTCCCTTTCTTCTTATATACTCTAAATCCGCCTTCACATTAATCTCTTAATTGGTAACTCGATTAATAATCTATATATTATATATCGTACTGAAGAAGAAGAAGAAGAAAAGAAATAAAAATGTAGAAATCGCTTTACGACAATGATAGCACACCTACTATGCATTTGTTAATGTTAGGGACGAAAAATATGCACGCTGAAAAAAAAAATTATTTCTAACTTTGATCAATTATTACGGTATATTTGGTGAAATTCCGGCTCACAAAGCTTGGCATCTGGTTCTAATTGTGTGAACACAATTTTTTTAATTAATTTTCTGATGTTTACTTGTTTCGTTGGGGAGTTTCGCCTTAACTACTGAATGTAATTAATTAAAATATAATAAGGTCCTTAATATAAAACAGAAAAATGTTTATAATTGTTAATTTATGATGTAAAGTTGACGAGATTTTAATTGGACCAAATGCCATTTGAAAAAATTACATTCCGCACTCTCAATCACAATGGTTGGACGCTTTAGTCTGACGGTCTCTGTCTACGATGGGGATTTAGCTTTCGGATTAAGCAAGTTGGTCAAATTTAGTTCACTTTGACCACGCCTCCTTCTCGATAATGTTTGATATACGACATTAGATAGTATTACGTAGGATTCGTTCGAAAGAATTTTGCTTTTGCTTTTATTTTTGGGAGAAGAGCTTTTTAAAAGAAACTATCTTAGATCAACTTCTTTGAAAAGTTTCTCTAGTTAGACAAAGAATTTCTAGAAAATTATCAAAATAAATTTAAAAGCAACTTTTTAATCGTAGAATCAGCTTTTAACTTCTTAAAAATCATATCAAACGAACTCATAGTCTATCTTACAAAACGAGCGACCACTAGTTCATAAAAAAATTAATGAATATAAAGACGATGAACTTCAAAAAGTTAGCAGTAATTTTTAGATAGAGTTAAATTCAACAAAAAAGAGTACTTTTCGAAAAAAGGTCTCCCTTTCTTCTAATATACTCTAAATCCGCCTTCACATTAATCTCTTAATTGGTCATCTATAACTCGATTAATAATCTACATATTATATACCTTACTGAAGAAGAAGAAGAAGAAGAAAAGAAATAAAAATGTAGAAATCGCTTTACGACAATGATAGCACACCTACTATGCATTTGTTAATGTTAGGGACGAAAAATATGCACGCTGAAAAAAAAAATTATTTCTAACTTTGATCAATTATTACGGTATATTTGGTGAAATTCCGGCTCACAAAGCTTGGCATCTGGTTCTAATTGTGTGAACACAATTTTTTTAATTAATTTTCTGATGTTTACTTGTTTCGTTGGGGAGTTTCGCCTTAACTACTGAATGTAATTAATTAAAATATAATAAGGTCCTTAATATAAAACAGAAAAATGTTTATAATTGTTAATTTATGATGTAAAGTTGACGAGATTTTAATTGGACCAAATGCCATTTGAAAAAATTACATTCCGCACTCTCAATCACAATGGTTGGACGCTTTAGTCTGACGGTCTCTGTCTACGATGGGGATTTAGCTTTCGGATTAAGCAAGTTGGTCAAATTTAGTTCACTTTGACCACGCCTCCTTCTCGATAATGTTTGATATACGACATTAGATAGTATTACGTAGGATTCGTTCGAAAGAATTTTGCTTTTGCTTTTATTTTTGGGAGAAGAGCTTTTTAAAAGAAACTATCTTAGATCAACTTCTTTGAAAAGTTTCTCTAGTTAGACAAAGAATTTCTAGAAAATTATCAAAATAAATTTAAAAGCAACTTTTTAATCGTAGAATCAGCTTTTAACTTCTTAAAAATCATATCAAACGAACTCATAGTCTATCTTACAAAACGAGCGACCACTAGTTCATAAAAAAATTAATGAATATAAAGACGATGAACTTCAAAAAGTTAGCAGTAATTTTTAGATAGATATAAAGATATCCACTATTGATAGGGTTCTCATGTATGAATATCCAGCATGACCAATTCGATGATAGAATTTTGCTACATTAGTGACGTTGATTATTTATTGGTCAAAGTATCGACTTTAAAAAATAATAATAATAAAATTGTGTGTGGCGTGCAACCAATCACGACATGACAAATGTCGATGAGAGCATACTAATCAGAAAAAGTATGTGTCAGATATTTTCCTTTCTCATCAACCCAATATTATTAAGGGACATTCTATTTGTAAGAATGTCCAATTTTAAGGGTATGAGTTGAAAATTGTCCACTCATTCGAATTTAGTGCCAACTTATCTATTATGCTCCTAATGAAAAGTTACATTCTGAAATGGTATTCTCGACATTATATTTATTTTTTTATCAATTTGTCACGAATTTTGAGAAGTAGCTTCCATGAGAAGTTATATTAAAATAATGTTTCTCGACATTTCACATATCATTCTCGACATTTGAATACCGTTTCATTTGTCTAGAATGACATTTCATTTTGAACATAACATTTCTCTACATTTAAAAATGTCGTTCTCGACATTTCTGAATCAATGAAAAACATGACATTTATTGTGATTTGAGATGTATACTTTTTGAAATAAATATGACAGATTATGTGTCAAATTTTATTGGTCGATAATAATATTGCAAATATGTTCATTTTTTTTATCTTAGTGTGGAATTATAAATTGTTAATAAGGCTATTTTGGTCTAAATTCTTTCAAATTAGATATTTTTGTAATGATGGACATTTTTGTAAATGACTAGATAAAAATGGACATTTTGTGAAATTTCCTCTAATATTAACCTGTTTAGACCGACCAATAATATTCTTAAGAGCATGCAAACTGGGAAGAAGACCCAACATTTGAAGTCTAAGGTCGAGTTCAGGGATGACAACAATTGATCAGCCTTATGGCCCTTATCACTATAGATCAACATAGCAACGATCTAAGATGAGACTGATTTCACAAGCATGAACTAATATATGATACATGAAAACCATCTAAATTCCAGAATCATACACTGTAAGTACTACATCATACGTAAAGCTGAAGGAGACAAATTAATCACATTTAGTATTAATTGTTAAATAATGAAAATGAGTCTTGGCCTTGGAACTGTTGATGCTGGTTATCGTAGAAGTATTGCTGATCTTGTGCTTGATAGCTCCGACCAGAGACGTCCTCCGATGAATTGTTTCTTGTGGGAATTTGACCGTTGATCTGCCGATGATCAGTATGTTCTGATGATGAGGATCCAAAACACAAAGTGATTGGCCCTTTCTCAGCGTGGCTACTACCGGTGTGCTTCTGCACCAGGGCTCGAAAATTTGTTATGTGGGCATTCAGAAATGTCGTCGGAGTTAGCTTCGAAGCTCTGGACCTTCGCCGTTTTGGAGTCACGGTGCTAGTTTTCGGCTTCAAATCACTTCCAGCTGATGAACTTGGGTTTTCTGGGCTGTTACTTGAAAGCACTGCACTGTAATTAGGGCTGAATAAGGTTTCGTTTATATCGAAATCAGTAGTTGACACTACAGTTGCATCGGAAAATTCGGGACAAGGTATGGCCAAGTCATCCATTAGTATTGATTCTTGGTAGTGTTGTTCCCACAGAGAAGAGCTTGGGAAATGGTCGCTCATGGTGGCTTTTTTAGCTTCTGTTCATAGGAATAATACTGAACCTTTGCTCACACGCACTCATATATATATATATATATATATATATATATATATATATATATAGTGGAAATCAATTAGGATAAAAGGTATCGATTATTCCTTTCAAACTAGACATTTCGCGTGCATGCTGACCATATTTATATAAAGTGATAACCTTAAAGAAGAGCATGACTATTATGCATTAGTTTTCATTTTCCACAGCATGCGGTCTTCGTTTTCTTTTTTGTTATTGGAGATAGGTGCGCTCGGCACTTCTTTAGCACCCTCGTCCACTATATATTTGTTATTTGCTTCTAAACTCTCTACAGTCGAAGGAAACTCTAATCTGAATAAATGGGTATTAAGAATTCTTTTAAGTTCTAAATTCTAATGAAATACGATGAATTTAACTTTTTTTGGAATTATGTTTTCCTACTACAATGTACATAAATTCTTAGGCCCCGTTTGGTAGTCATTTTTTTCAAAATATATTTTTCTCTCTATTCTTTTCAACCACATTCTTTATTAAAATAATATTACACGTAAATCAAAAAATTTTATATGTGCTGCACGTGAAAATAATTTTCTAACAAAAAAAAGTACTTTAAAATTTCTTAAGATTGTTAAATATAAGACTAGAGGGTCAACTATTTTACATTCTCGTACGTTTAATTATCACTAATATATGAGATTTTTAAAGCGAGAAAGAGAATAATAATTAGCGAAGGGTTTTGCTTCATGTACATAATTTATGTACATATATAGGGTGTCCACACCCTTCACATGCGGTGGGGACCTCACAAGACTTTTCCATTAGCAAAACCCTCCAAATTAATAGTCTTAGCTTCAAGTGAAATATCGATTCAACAACACCGTAAAATTAGAACGACACAAAAAATATTAGCATGACCTACACAAGGATTGCACAAAAATAAAGAAACTTTAATAGATGTATAAATTTATGAAGAATTTGAATTCCTTGAATAACATGTGAAACGATGAATATATATAAATTTTCGAAGAGTAAAAAAATGCCAATTTTTCCTATAAAAAATAAAACTTTAGTAGGTAACTTTCTTAGAAAGCTTGAAATGCTACGGTCCGAAGAATGGTTGTGGACAACAGACGCAAAATGAACAGAAAATGACGAAATTGAATTTCGAACATTGACATTTAGCCCAGATCCCATAATGTACAAAGGAAAAATGGTCTTAAATTCAACAGTAAAACTACTCGTGCAATTAATTCTTTTACTGGTTAAGAGGGCAGACCCATTAATTCCACAGTCAACGAATGGCCATTTCATTAGTGCAAGAGACGGTCCATTCCATTTAGTAAAAAATATTTGACTTGTCGTCCAAGGAAATGACTTGTTTTGTCCTTGAAGAACCAGTCATGAATCACGTGCTTTTGACCAACAAATTTTCTGATATTTTTATCCGCAATGTACATAATATTTCCAAAGATTGAAAATGTTGCTTTACTTTATTGACGGGAAAATAATAGCAAGAATTCTTAATTTTCTGCCCCATCAATTATTGCTTTTTTTTTTTTTTTTTTTTCTTTTTTAGCCGCCACGTGTACTCTTATTTTTCGCAGAAAAGAGTTGAAACGGATGAATTTGATGTCATAGTCCAACCTATTGGGGATCGACGAATAAGATACAAGGAGGGTTGAAGATCTCTTCTCGTTTATTAAAATTTGACAGTTCATTATATTAGATCTTATTAATATGGCTTAAGCCATTTGTACGTCGAGCTTGATAGCTCGGTGTACACTCCCCTCACATGAGAGGAATGGGCCCCAGTGCAGTTAATGCGCAGGCCCCGCCCCTTGTGTGAGAGGCATGTATACCAAGCTGTCAAACTTGGTGTAAGTGTAGCTTGATTTTATTAATATTTTGTTATTGCTAATTAGACTTGGTTAGCAAGACTAGTTGTTTATTTAAAAGAAGAAGGAAAAAAAAAAGTAACGGAATGGAGTGTCAAAATCTTAATAATGGGACAATCACATTGATCACCAAATCTAAACTCCTTAATTGGAGCAATGTTCAAATTTTATAAGGGACAATAAATTTGATCATTTTTAAGTGTTTTTCAATTTTAAGATAACAAATATAAGTACCCCTTCCACAACTAGTCTTTAATCACAAAATTAATTTCCCGTACAATTTATCGGAGTAAAGATTTTCAATGACATTGGGAAGAAGGTTGTACAAAAGTAATGCGCAAATTACCATCTTTTAGGATATGTGAAATGCAATTTCTTTAAATTTTACATTTTACTTTATGTGATAAATTTATTTTCTCTCCTTAAATAATTCTATATGTACAAAAATTCTTTAACAAAATTTTAATACAGGAAAACATTCTTAGCAGCAGCTAATCATAGGGAGACAGTATAAATTCTATCAAAGAATTTTTGTCAGTGAAGCATTGCTTTTTCTCATTTACCTGAAGATTAGGTCGAGCACACTCCTATGTTTATAGTTATGTTTATATTCATTTGTAAAAAAGGTTACCATTGTGACGAATGGAGACCCCTTACAAACGTTGTTAGAGAAGAAACATTACAATCATCCTCCGAGTTTGGTGGTGCCTCACGTGTTTGATGCTTTCCGGCTGGGCCTTCACCAGGCAGTGCTTGGTCAATCATTGCCTGCCTGACCAACTATTTTGCAGCCTGCTTGCTCCACATGGTATAATATAGCCCTTGTTTGAGCCTCAATTGAGGGAAGGAATGAATTTTTGAACAGTCTATTGATAAAAAATGTGGTTAAAAAATAAGAAAAGAATTTGGATTTACGTGTAATATTATTTTATTGAATAATGTGTAGTTGAAATAATGTCAAAACATTGTTAAAAATACATTTTTTTTCAAAAGAATGGAGCTCTCAAAAAGCATAAATTGTTAGACAAATTTGACGAGTAAAATAGAATAAAGAATATAGGGCTACATCGCTATTACTTCAAAATGTGGGGAGTTTATTATCAAAAGTTGGACCAATTCTTCATTCAATCATTTCAATGTAGACTTGGTAATGTTGTGTCACATGGGCATCGATTTATTTGGATCATCTATTTCAATTTATTACATTATTTCTGATATAAATAATAATATTTTCATTGGTAATGACAAAAGGGCTTAGGTATGGTCACGAGGAATAGATAATTAATCGACGACTTCATCAAGAAAAAGATGAGCTGAATGTAGACACCCAGCCTACCAACCACATTGTCTATTTGGTTGAAGTTGTCGACGATAGGCAGTTGAAAAAGAAGAAGAGAGCAGTTATATGATTGGTAACCCAAAATATTTTAAACAAGTAATGATATTTAACATCTAACAGTGAATAATTTTATTCGTTTGACACACATTTTACTGTCACTGTAGATTGGTACTGATGCTACCAAGAAATCGTACTTGATCGATATCGAATTGAATGTTTAAACTCAGAACTTGGATGAACACAAACGATCTTCTGATACTGAAACAAAGGCAACGAGGTGTGTTCTTGTTGCCCCTCCGATACTTAAGTCAGATGGAGAGTTTAATGTGTAAGGTTATAAATTAGAAGTAATGAAAAACGTACCTGAATAATGAGCCTTGACCATGTATTTATAGGTGTAGATGGTAGAGTTATAGAAGGACTTAAATATGTGTGATCCTTATCCTTATAAGGTAAGATGTTTGTGTTTTATTCGAAGTGTTCGTTTGAATTTGAGTTGAACTAGGAAGATAAGGATCACCAGGAATCACAAAGCAGGACTAGTAATTCCCTGGATTGTAGGGAAGAACTGGCGTTAGGGGGGGACCAAACCCTGAGCTAAAGGAATAGCCCGACCTAGATGGACCTCGACCTTATCTAGGGTGGTATTGTAGGAGATTGAGATCGGGCCATTGAGTTCGTGTTCGCGGATGTTCATGTTTTAGGTTACACAGGCCCCTGAGCATTGACGTCGCAGATTGCAGTCTATGCCCGATCTATGAGTGAAGATGCAGAGAGGTGTAAACTGCCTGATATCATTGCACGTGTAAGGCACACGTTTGGTTGTCAGGGCTTGATCTTAGATGGTCGCAATGTGTCCTGATCCAAGGGTTCAGATTAGGAGACTGTTGACATCCGATGGACCACTATAAATACCCCACTTTTCACCCTCATTTTTCACATTTTCACTCTCAATCTTCAGTAAAAGAAGCTCGAGCTCTGGTATAGTGGGTTTGTGAGCGTCCTTCTAAAAAGGTAAGAAATCATGTCTTTAAGTTGTTAATTATTTGAAAAGCATAATGTCGTGCAGTAGTAGCAATAGTAAAGGGTCAAGTGCTAGTGGCAGTAGCCATCCCTCTAGGTCATATTTGAACATTAGTAATAGTCCTGAAGATCTAGGCGCCCTGTAAGCTCGCACTCTGAGGCCATTCTGACCTACCCTAAGGAGCCTACCAAATACAGAGAACACGTGATCATTAGGACAGTTAGGGAATTCGAGGTTATGCCCTTATGCGATGTCCAGGCCCCTGAGCCAAATGAGACCGTTTTATGTGCTCGAGAGGATGAGATGACCTTCTTTAGGGACACCCTTAAGGCCGGCTTAGGTGGCCACATCACCCCTTTTTTATCCATTTTCTGACCTCCCACTTTATGTGCCCGGGCCAATTGGCCCTGGACGGGTGGAGACTGTTGATCTACTTTTTCATTATGTGTAGATGTCTCGAGATCGAGCCCAGACTTGATCTCTTAAGGATGGTTTTTGATATGAAATTCTCTTCGGGGTACAACTGCTTCGTGTACCTATCCACTAAGCGGGGTTTAGGACACCTAATACCTTGAGCTCACTTAGGGGGTGGAAAGAGAGATTTTTTTTTTTGTGAAGCCACAAGACCTCGATCACCCCTTTAGCCTGAAGTGGGAAATACCTGATAAA